TATTATGCCATAAAAGGTGTTTTGGAATTCCTTCAACCTTTTGAAATTGAGTCAGAAAATATAAATTTTATAGGATAGCGGAAAATACCTATAATTTTTTTGTAGGCCTTTGTAAATCGTGGAAATAGTTTATATTTTATTTCTACCTTATTAAGGAAAATGGTACCTATTATTAATAACGGTTGTTTCTGAAACATTACTAAAATTTTCGAAATTTTGTTTTTCTACAAAATAATAAACTATACTATTTAGAAAAAAATTTATTTCTCTTATAATTTTATAAAAAATAACGGGAATATTTACATTTCTTGATCTATTAAACAAAACGATAAATTATCTCGACGAATGACACCATGTTCTAGTACGGAAGCTAGCTTTACATTTTTGTTGGTGGTTTCATGGGTTTCATATCAATTTTTTGTAATTGTAGTTTACACGTACATATACCTCTTAACACTTGTTTGCTTTATTAAAAAAGTGTGTTGTTGTGATTTACGTCGAAATAAGTCAAAAACAACTTGAAACCCCATATAAAATCAAAAAGGAGAAACGGAAAAAAATTGAGCCTGTAAATGAACACAACTCAGAAACAAAAATAGCTATCTAATAATAAAAAAATAAAATTTGATTCTTGTGCATCTTCGTTGTAAAAATAGATAATACTTTTTTGATCTTAGGTACAGATATAATTTTAATGGTCTTCCGAAAAACTGTCTTCAGTTTCCATATCAGATTCAAAATCAGTCTCACTGTCACTGTTTAAGTTAATTATAAATCTATCAGTTGCCTCATCCAAAGTAACTTCTCTGTCATAAAATTTAGATTCCCACATTTTAGCATTATTACAACGAGATTGCCACTCCTCTTTAGAAAACGTATCAAAAAAGTCTTCACACAACAGTTGTACGTCTTGCCTCTTAAATGTAGTGTTGTTACTAGCTACATATTGTTTCAATGATGCCCACACTAATTCGATCGGATTAAGATCGGGATGATACGGTGGCAAACGCAAACAACTAAAACCATGTTCATTTATCATTTCTTCAATTGCATACCTCTTAAATCGTGACTTATGCAATAGCACTAAACTGTATAATTGCGTTTTGAGCATATCCTCTTCGTAAGCAATTTTATGATTCCTTAACCAATCCTGCATGTCAGCTTTTTTAGAAGTTGACGTTGGTGCTTTATTTACCTGGGCATTATAGTAAGGAGCATTATCAACAATAATGACGCTTCTTGGAGGGAGGTTCGGAAACAGCTTTTCTTTCAACCATTTAGAAAAATTATTAAAATTCATTTCATCGTGGTAGTCTCCACTTTTGGTTCCAGATTTGAAAATTAACCGGGCATTCGGAATAAAGCCCATTTCACCTCCTGCATGGACAATAATTAGTCTATCACCTTTATTCATTGGTTTCTTTAATCCCTCATTTGAATTATCACTCCAAGCTTTCTGGTGTGTGTGGGAGGCATGAATGTATGTTTCATCTAAGTAGACAATTGGACGGCCCTCTGCTCGATAACTTTTTAAACGAATCAGATAGTCTAAACGTAGCTTTTGAATATCAAACCTTTCCATTAATATTTTTCTGTTTGTTTTTGTTTTCCGCCAACGAAATCCTAGCGACTTTATTATTTTTCTTAAACTTTCATAGCTTCCTTTGTACCCTGTAGCTTCTCTAAATTTAGTCAGAATTGTTTTTAATGTTGGAACAATATTTTCCGAGATTAACATGAACAGAATAATTCTTTTTAAAATACCTTTGTCAGCTTCATCTATATCATTAACTGTTTTTGGTTTTTTAATGGTTTTTCTTGGTGATGAAAATTCCGATATCTCACGGTTATCGATTCTTTTTTTCTCTCCAGAAATGCGGACGACAGTGTTTTTAGATACTCCTGTGGCTGCAGCAACACGATCATTTACATTTTTAAATGGTATTGAAGGTGAATTAAAGTTTCCTTCTCTTCTCATAAACTCTATAACATTGGCTATTATTTCGCGAGATTGACTGTTAATCACGCGGCCTCTTAATTTGCTACTTAGGTTCTATTAAACTGTAATGAGCAAAAAACACAAACGAAAATAAAAGATATGTTTTGGCGAAATTTACATCTGACATTTACGTCTGAATAAAATAGTGAAATACTTGATGCGCAGAGTGTACTTTCATTGCGTAAATCCGTCGGCCCCGCCAACCGATGCCTCTCAGTAGTGCTTTCTCTGTCTAGCCGTCGAAAGCCTCTAGAAATTTGATGAACTGTAAAACACAAAAATATTTTACAAATAGGCGATTCCAAAAACATAACTTTAAATGTCAAATGCTAACATCGCTAATAAATAAATGGCTATTGGCATAAAAATGTTCATTACACGCCAGTGGCGTGACCCTGTCGTTACTTAGCGACGTAGGTAAACAAGACATAATACCGCTGACAACACTTTGTGAGGAAATATTTAATATTCATCTGAGAAGGGCAAAAAATGTAATTTTAAACGAATAAAATTATATTACTGTCACTAGAACGCCAAAAAAATTCTTTTAAGGAATTTCTAGAAAAAACTATTTTTAACAGTTTTTGAATATTATTAAATATTCCTGCATTATTGGTGTCCTTATTCTTTTTGGTTACCTTATGATTAAATCTGAAATATTTTCTTTTTCTTTTCAATCCTGCACTTTCAATATATTCTATCGTTGCCATGTCTATTTTAAAATATCTAATACGAAAATGTTAAACTGATTGAATACCGAATAGAAATTTGGGTTTATATTTTAACCGTATAGGGCCATTTGCATCGATAGTCTTTAAGAAGTATGCTAAGCTTAAAATTACATTTTCTTGTTAAAAATAAAACTTTGCTTCGTCAAGAATTCAGTTTTTGAAATTTCAGTAAAACTCTGTTCTATTCTATCGACATCAAGAGTAGGAGAGTTTTATTTCCTGTGAATCTGGTTTTGATTTGTTTTACTAGGGAATAATCAACCTTTTCATTTCAAAATAGTTAATAAATTTTAACGTATAACAATGATTTTAATGAAAATTTATGGTTATTACCCAGATAGCACAAAGTCGTTTTAAAGACGTCTTTAAGACATCTGGCATAAGACATGAGACGTCTTTAAGACATCTTGCATTTCCTTAAAGACGTCGTGATGTTACAAAAGGGGACGTCTTAAAGACGTCTTATTATTGACTTATATTAGTCTATAGAGCTTAAAATAAGCCATAAATAAGACATCTTTAAGATGACTTATTAATAGCTTCTAATGGTCTTGTGAAGCCTTAAATAAGCCACAAATGAGACGTCTAAAGACGGCTTATTAATAGCTTACAATGGTCTTGTGAAGCCTTAAATGAGCCATAAATAAGACAACTTATTAATAGCTTATAATGGTCTTGTGAAGTCATAAATAAGACATCTTTAAGTTGTATTAATTGCTTATTATGGTCGGTTAGACTTAAATAAGCCATCAATAACACGTACATTGTTTTTATTTTGCTAATTCTATAACCTGTCTATAATAATATAAAACTATTTTAAAAATGGGTACCATCGTGCATGGAGCACGTCGAATATCTTGGTTATTAAAATTAGTAGAATAACTTTTCAGGTTATAAAGAATGCAGAAAATAGAATTAAAAATATTTATTGATAAAGTATCCTATTAATCACAGGTCACTAAGAGTTATTTTCTTTGTAGCACATTCGATCACTCCTCTTTAGCCATAATTGGATTGATTTTTCTCTTTCCCTTTGATTTGCAGTTTCTCTTGTATAGCTCCTAAAAAGAAATTTAGGTAAGAGCATCTAGTCACAGAAAGTTATTTGTAAAAGTTAATAAAAACCGAAAGAACAATTATCTATCTATAAATTTAAGGAATTATGAGCTATTATGCTTAATCGCCTACTTTGACAATTTTACTTTAACTCAAAATGGTCATCGAGTCATGGTTTTTGATATTAATAGTTTTCGAAATATCCATAAAAACAAAAAAATGATAATTGAGGAATATTTGAATTAAATCTTATATTAAGATGTTTACTTTTAAATTCATTTAATTATTCTTAGAATATTCTATGTACATAAATAAATATTCAATTATTGCCTGTAGAAAGTATTACAGGAACATGCTACATCGGTAACATCTGGTTTTTGTCGCATATTATTTAAGTAAAAATAGACTAAACACAAATGCACAAGATAGCACAAAGACGCTTTTGGTGGCTATAATCGTGTACGCAAAAACCAATAATCCACAATAAGCTTGGGCCATAGACATTATTGGCTTGGGCTTGAATGTAATGTTAAGTCATACGTCAAACTACTCTTCATTTGATTCTTCTTGTTAAATTTGAATTATGTAAACCGTGTAAGTTTCCGTCCGGCTGAAAGACGTTTGTAAGACGTTTTAAAGATGTCTTTGAGCTTTCACATTAATACGTCTGAAATATGGCTTTTGCCAGACGCCTTAATGACGTCTCAGGACATTGAGACCAAACCAAGACTCAAAAAAGACGTCGTGTGCTATCTGGGTAGTAGTGTTATTAATTACTCGTCATGCTCAGTTGATGGAATAACTACTCCTAAAATTCATTGTAGCCTCTGCTCTTGTGGTTAAACCTATGAACTATAGAGACAAAACGGAGGATTTATTATTTCAATAATTTCAAGTAAAAGAGATATTGACTACAATATTTTAATGATTGAATATATATGAAGTAGTTTAGTTTCAAAATAATAAAACTGATTTAAATGCCATCCAAAAAATCAATAAACGATAAATTAGTGTTTTTAAATAATAATTTGATCTTTTATTTAGGATAAAAGTTGCTCATAGTTGAACTTATTCTTTGCTTTATTTAGAGCCCCTTTAAAAATTCAAGAAATTTCTAAGTATTTAAATATTTGCATTGTTTCATATTTTTGCATGTGTTGTTTTACCACTATTATTGTAGTAATCGCAGCTTTAAAGAAATTAATAATTTTCAGGTTATAATGGCTACTAATCGAATCGAAACTCTTGATCCCGCTTTAATTAGACCCGGTCGTATAGATAGAAAAATTGAATTCCCACTGCCTGACGAAAAGACTAAGAAGCGAATTTTCAACATCCACACATCCAGAATGACTTTAGCTGAAGATGTCAATCTTCAGGAGCTTATTATGGCTAAAGATGATCTCTCAGGAGCGGATATTAAGGTAAGAATACTTTGATAAATGTTCAAGAAGTTCAGCTTCGGTTAGTTTCCTGGATGACATTTTATACATTTTATTACCACTTTTTGTTTATTATAAAAATCACCACCACTCAATCACCATGTTCGTTTAAACGTCCTTCTAAATCAAAATTTACATTAAATAATATTATTTTTTTAGGCTATATGTACTGAAGCTGGTCTGATGGCATTGAGGGAGAGACGTATGAAAGTGATGAATGAAGATTTCAAAAAGTCTAAAGAAAGTGTTCTCTACCGGAAAAAAGAAGGCACACCAGAAGGGCTTTATCTTTAAGTAGCTTGAGTTGCAATTATTGTAATTTATACAGATTTTTCATTTTTTTTTTTGGCTAATAAATAATTTCTACAAAGTTTTTTTGTTACGTTTTAATTTAACCCTTTCGGTCACGTACCTTAAATTAGGCTTTGAAAAATTATAAAACTAAATATATGTAAAGGGAGAAACCTGGGTAAAAAGAGTTCTTTCACTAACTGTCCAACTGCCTAATGGTACCGGTACATAACCTCTGCACTGCATGTTATATACACCAGCCCTGATTAGCAGTTATTCGTTTCAACTATTTCAAGTTTTATTAATACCACGATTCAGTGTGCGGCAGAGAAAATTGAATTGAGTATACAATTAACAATGGATATTATGGAATTAAAGGTCAAAAAAAAAAGGAATTGAGAAATTATTTCAGAAAATATGAAGAAACAACTTGTACACAAATGTACTATTATGGTAGTAAGAACCTTAGCTGCCCTTCTATATTCAACAAGTGCAAAGCTAAAGTTACAGCAGCCAACAAAAGTTTACTTTATTATTTTATGGAGTATCGATGTATACAAGGTGGCAAATATCAATTTAAAGGAGATCATAAAAGAAAATCAAGGTAAGCCGTTATTTTAAGTAAAATTAATTACAAATTTTGTTTTAGTACGTTAAGGCGTAAATGTCCTTTTCGAATAAAATTTCTTTGTCAGAAAATGGACAGCTTCTGGAAATTCAAAAGGTCGATTTAACACATACTCGTACAGTTCTGTATCTGTAACGTGTGGAGGGTAGATTACCCCCAGGGCACTTAGGCCTCATTAGGCCCATTGTGCATCCTCCTAAGATGATAGGCACCTCCTAGCTCGTGAGCCAGCCTACAGATTTAATGTAGTTGACAACGACGCCAAGAAATCTTCTAATAAATGAGAGCGTCGAGCAATCGTAAAGGATATGCTCGAAGGTCTCATCTTCTTGTTCGCACCCTCTGCAGAGTACGGATTCTGACAGCCCCATGATATGGAGATGCTTCCGTACTTGGCAATGACGAGTCAGAATGCCTGTAACTAGGCGCAGATTTTGTCTAGTCAAAGTCAAGTATTTGTTTGCTGCAGTGTTGTCAGGATAACTTAAGAGCTCCCTGGCAATTCTGCAGTTTCTTGTTTCATCCCATCTTTCCTTGAATTTCACAAGGGAATGCTCTTTAATTAGGTCTGTCGCTACCGATTTTGTCAAACCAATAGAAGGGTCAGGTCCAAAAAGTATTTGGTTGGCTGCTTTCTTGGCTAGTGAATCAGCAAGACGGCTACCTTTCGATGTAGCCTGATCTTTGATCCATCTTAAGGTGACCACATTGTTGATGGATACTTCGGCCAAAGCTTCGTGATATTCTAGTACTAACCCTGAGAAAATTCGTGGTCTGTTCAGGGTGAGTGAGTAGTCTGTATCTGTATAGATAAGCATGTTCTTTTCAGTGATATTGTTTCTGGTTATTTTTTTTTTGCTGCTATGAGAATCCCTGTTAGCTCTGTTTAAACTACACTGGCACTATTGCTCACAGCCTATTTTATGTTTAGGTTTAAGAATCTGAAGTACATTCCACATCCTGAGCCTTGTTTTGTTTTAGAACTATCAGTGTAGATATGAATCGTACCTGCCACTTCTGGATCTTCTATTTGTTCTATTATAACTTTATATGGCTTATGGAAGATATATCTCGGTGAGATGGAGTCCATGTTCACTTGAAGCAGTGTGAGCGTATCGAGCGCCTCCTGCCAAAAGCGACGTCTCGCCTCACCAGATCTTACATCAGGTTCTATTCCAACCGTGCGGAGCAACCTCTTTGATGTAAATATCAAGGGGAGTAAGACTAAGAATGACTTCCATGGCTCTGGTCGGTGTTTTCATGGCTCCTGTTATGTTGAGACATGCTGTTCTTTGAATTTGTTCTAATTTATGGATAGCTGTTAATTTTTGGGTTTTCGGTACCCAGACAACTACACGGTATGTTAGCATAGGTCTTATGATAGCCGTGTAAGTCCATGCGACGACATTGGGAAAGAAACCTCAGGTGCGCCTCACGGTTTGGCGGCATTGTTCATAAGCAATGTATGCTCTTTTAACTGTTTTCTAAATGCAAGTTCCATGTTAACTTGCTGTCAAAAGTGAGACCTAGGTACTTCACCTCTGTTGCAAAGTTTAGTTTTGTGTTTAGGAGGTTTTAATTCCATTTTCATCCTTTTCCTTGTGAAAAGGACCATTTCTATCTTCGTAGGATTGATAGACAGTGAATGGTTCTTGCACCACTGTTCTATAATTTTTAGAGCTACTTGCATTTTTTCGCAGAGTATGTTCTCAAAATTCCCTGTTTGCAAAATGACCAGGTCATCTACATATGCTATTGTGTAGTGACTGTCATTATTGATACGGCTGATGAGGGTGTCGATGATCATATTCCACAGTAGAGGTGATAGCACCCCTCCCTGTGGACATCCCCTCGCAACCAAGCCTCTTATATTCACATCTTCTACACTTATGTTTACTGCTCGCTTTGAGAGCATGTTATGTATCCACCCACTAACCATTTTTGGAACATTCCTGTTGGTTAGTAAGTGTATTATATTTGAGAAGGTGATTTTATCAAAAGCACCTTTTACGTCTATGAAAACACCCGAAGCGGACTCCTTATTGTCCAGGGACCTGTTGATCCGGCCAGCAACTAGATGAAGGTCTGAATCAGTAGCCTTTCCAATGTATTCATGGAAAACGATGTCGGACTAATTGAATGGTATGTTTTTGGGACAGTGTAATTCATCCTTCCAAGTTTGGGTATAAATACCACTTTTACCTCTCTCCATTTTTTGAGGATATACCTCAGAGCCAACAAGGATCTGAATATACCCACCAGGTGCGGTATGAGTTCTTCCAGACCCCACCGAAGTAGGGCTGGATAGATACCGTCAGGTCCTGGCGATTTAAATGGAGAGAAGCTGGATATTGCCCTACTAATTTTGTCATCGTCTACAATGTCTTTGGCAGTTTGCCAATTATAGGCAGACGGATTGTATTCTTCCTCTGCCCAGTCGGCCACGTCTGTGATGACCGAGTCAGGGAAGTGTGATGACAGCAGAAGTTTGATGCTATCTTTGAGGCTGGCAATTTTCGTGCCATCCTCGTTAATTAGCGTACCATTGCTTCGGTGTAGATCTTTTGAGAGAGCTTTTTGAAGCCTCGCTGCCTGCGAGAAATCTTCGATTTCTTCGCAGTAGGATCTCCATGCATCTCTGTTTTTGTTTGACAATTTTTTTGTATTCTCTGAGGTGAGATTTGTAAGTATCCGTCCTCTTTGAGTTTTGCGGTTCTTGTCTTATTACATGATTTCCTAGCCATCTTCCTGAGGTGATCTAACTCGTGACACCACCATGCGGTAGTCGTCTGATCGTGTTGGACCAGACTCAGGGGACAGGATTTCTTATAGACATTGTTTGTTGTGCTTTGGATAGTGTTCGAGTACTTCTCCAAAGCATTTTTATTGTTTGGTGATTCGGCCTCCATCTCTCTCCGAGCTTTTTAGAGAAGGTGGGCATAGACTTTCCTGTCCGTCTTCCTAGGGTTCCGAGATAGCGTGGAGGTCGACAACATCAAGTTTATTTTGAATGTTAACCAGCGTTGGTCTGACATCGAAATGTTATCAGACATTTGCCAGTTTAGAATTGATTTATAGATACCAGTTGTGGATAAAGTGATATCTATTAGTGTTTGACTGCGAGAGTTTAAAAATGTTGGTATATTACCTTTATTTAAAATACAAAGATTTTTGGTAATTATATAATCAGTGACTTACATCTAGCGTTGTTATCCTTATTGCCCCGACTGAAGTGATGAGCGTTTGAGTCGCAACCTATTACCAGTGTCGGCGTGCTGCCTTTTTGGATCTGCCGTTCTTTTTTGCTGACCAGCTCAGCTAGTAATACACTCACTACTTTACAAATGCACTTTATTATTATCTGACAAATTTAGGTACAATATAGTTTAGAGAGAACAAAACAATGCATCGGAAAAAGGTAGGTATGCAGATGCCGGGATTAACGTTTTCCTTTTGATGGCGTATTCCATCCTAACCGCAGTTAAATCAGAGGTGGAAAGGTGCGCCATTGAGTGAGCTTTGTATTTCCTAGGAATGTAAATGGCTGTACTAGGTTGTTGGTTGCTGGGAAAACTAAAAATTGAACCGTTTAGATTTTTAAGACCTAAAATTTTGGTTTTTATTATCCAGGGTTTCTGGATGAGTGCTATTGTATCTTGCATCAAGGCAACGGCATAATGTTGCCGTAGCCATCCTTTTTGGGCTGCATGTTACATTGTATGATAGTGAATTTATCTAAACTGGAAGAAGCTATACAATATACCAAGAGATCAGAAAATTTATATTGTAAAAGTGGTGGTGAATAATATGATAATAAATTAGAAGGAATTTATTAACAAAGTATAGAAATGCATAATTCTTTTCAAACTTACCCAGAATTATTACTGTGTGATGTTAAATACAAATTAAATATTATTAATGGAAATGGGCAAGGGGAAACAGCTGCAACATTTTTACTTGCAAATAAAAACGCTGATAACATAAAAGGAATGACGCAGATTTTCAAAAGACATAATTTATGTTGGTCTAATGTTACAATTTTTACTGACAAAGACTTCAAAGAAAGAAAAGCATTTGAGAAAGAATTTCCAAGTGCAAAATTATTATTATGATTGTTCCATACTGTTAAAACTTTCCGTACAACAATTACTTGTGAAAAAATGTGTATTAATTCTGTCTAAAGAGCTAATTGTTTGACAGTACTTCAAGACATTGCATTTTCTGAGAATGAAAGTTTCTACAAACAAAATTATGCATGTTAAATGTAAAGTATTTTAATGATAACTGGCATAATATTCGAAGTCAATGGGTAAAAGGGTTGTTAAAAAATTCTGTTACATATAATCACAAACCATTTAGAATCTCTGAACCAAAAAAATTAAACGAGTTGTGTTAAAGAATAGTTCTCTTGTGCCATTTTACAAAGATCTTTTAATTTTATTTGATTCTATGCAAG